AGAGAGGGCAGAGGGGGCTTGCGGCTGAGAGCAGAGTGGTGGGGGCAGGTGGGACGGGTGGGCAAGGGGCAAAGGAGCCTGTGTGGGGACCCCGCCAGGCTGACCCCTTGCTGGTCCCAGCTGTCCTGCCTGCAGCTGTGGTTTTGCCTGGTTCCCTGGGTCTCTTGTCAAAGTCGGGGCTCCCCGTTGGGAACTTTGCTGGGGGCTCCTGGTGATGCTCCGGTAAGGGGGTGAGGAAGCCTCCTGGGAGAGGGGACAAGGCCCTGTAATGTGACCTTGGGCAGCCCTGTAATGTGACCTTGGGCAGCCCCGTAATGTGACCTTGGGCAGCCCCGTAATGTGACCGTGGCTGAGTGGCTCCTGGCTGGGGAGGGCCTTCCTGGTGAGGGGCTGGGTGAGCTCCAAGAAGGTGTGGGTGGCTCCCGCTACGTCCGCCAGCTCGTGAATTCTCGTCGTGGTAGTGAGCAGAGGCTGCTGCCGGAAGGCACTCCCGCGTCCTGGGGCTGTTTGGGGGCGTCCCAGGAGCCCACGCCTTTGCCCTCCGCCCCAGGCTCCATCCCATGCAGGAGGAAGGAAAGATAAATGGCATTTACCCCGATACCTGGAACTTCCCACGGCTGACGCTGCTGTGTGTCCGCACAGACGCGCACATGCACCCACCCACGCATGTGCGCACAGATACACGAGCACGCACACGTGTGCACCTGAAGGTGGAAGCGTAGTCTGTAGGCTTTAAGCCAGGGGTGGGGAACGTCCAGCCCGCGGGCTCTGTGTGGCTGCGAAATCACTGGGGCCGGCCCTGCCACGGCAAGCGCAGGCGGGCCTCGAAATTCAGTAAACCTCGGAGCTGCTCTCACAGCTAATCTTTAAGTTGATATTTTCCTGTGGCTCGCGAGTGATTTTATAAATGGCCCTTGGCAGAAACAAGGTCCCCCACCCCTGCTCCAAACTAAGCCTTGGGCACCTTTCTTTGCTATTAACTTTCCTGCAACGTGACTGTCCCTGGGGGCAGTTTAGTTTTTGTGCAGCAGGGAGTGGTTGTCACCCTTTAAAAAGACAGTGTGACGACAGTGACAACCACCCTGACCCCCACGCAAGGACATGCATCCCGAGCGTGTTCCTTCAGGGTCTCATCCCACGCACACGCACACACACACATGCACACACACGCACACGCACACACATGCACGCGCACACACGCACACACCCATGCGCACACATGCACACTCACATGCACACACACGCACATGCACACACACATGCACACGCACGCACACGCACACACACGCAGTTCCTCAGCCCCCTGTGCGCACGCAGGTTTCTCGCCCCCACTTTCAATTAGAACAGTGGCCATTCTGTGGCCCTGACCTGCCCTCCCCACGCCGCCCACCTTCGGTCGCCTCACGTGCTTCTGCCCAGCGTTGCCGACGGTGTTTCCGTCGTGTTCATTCACCCGCGTGCCACGCTCGCCTTGGCCTGGGTTCCCCTTTGGCAGAGGTTAAACGCTCAGGTTTCAGGGGTCCCCCCCATTTCATGGGCTCTCTGGGGGGGGTCAGAGAACAAGGACATTTTCCGGTCCCCTGAGGAACCGGTGGACGCGTGCGGGCCCTCCCCCCACGCGGACTGAGTCAGTTTCCCGAGCCCGTGGGTCCGCGCCGCGTGGCTCTTCCTGACTCGCTGAGCCCCCGAAGGCCAGCACCCTCCCCAGTCCTCAGGCCTGGCACCTTCTCCCCCTCTGATTGTTGCCTGAGGCTCTCTGATCCGTCCTGACCTCTGGGGCCTGGCTTGCTGGGAGCTGACCGCGGAAGCCGCCCCCACACGAGACCACCCGGGATGCACGCCTGGGGGTTTCCGGTGTTCCCGCTTGGCCTGTGCTTGTGGAAGCGGCCTGGGGTTAACGTTTGTGTGAGGTGTGGGCACCGCCCAGCCGGGGCTGCTCTCAAGGTCCGGGTGGCGCAGGCCGCGCTCCTCTGGTTAACCGGCACCCGTGGGACCCATCTCCATAGCCTGTCCCCGTGAAGCGCACCTGCTGCCGTCCACAGTCAGACGGACGGTGCCTCGTCGGACCCGCCCCTCGTTCGTTTGGTTAGGGGACCCGAGTTTCTAGTGGTGTTTTCCGGGTCGCGGTGCAGCGTTGCGCTGGGGTCCGGCGGTTTCCCTCCTGGAGGTTCGCTGTCCGCTGCTCTTGCCTCCCCACCTCACATCCGGTCCCTCGGGGAGTCCGCGCGGCCCCTCGTAAACCGGCCACTTCCAGAGCCCCTGCCGCCCCCTCCCCACCCTCCACTCTGTGCTGCGGCCACCCGGGCGCAGGGCTGCAGAGCCCAGCCCGCATTCCCCGTGTCCACCTGCAGACGTCCCGTCCAGGTCCTTGCTGCGCCCGCCCGCCTCCCNCGCCTCCCCCACCCGTCACTCGATGCCCCTTGTGCCCGTACCTGCCTGGCGTGGAGGCTCCCTCCTCCCGCGCCCAGACGGAGGCCCCCGCTTGCTCTCCCCTCTGGGCACCCTTGTGCAGATGGGGTGTCCCAGCCCCTACGTTCGTGGCTCTTCCTTCGTCCCGCCGTGGCGCACTGGCTGGCGCTGTGCGGAGTCAGGTGACCACGACAGCAGGCTACCTTGTGGCTTTTGGGGAACACTCGCCGCGACCCCCCTCTCAGAGGACACAGGGCACCCCGCCTTCCGATCGTCCGGTGAAGTCACTCATCGGGCGTAAACCTTTAGCTTCCTCGCCCAGACTGTGCTCTGTCCTGTTCTCCTGTCTGCTCCGTCGGCGGGGAGGCTCCGTGTGTTTTCGCTCAAGGGGTGGCGCGCCCACACCTGTCTGGCCCACGGCCTCGTGCCCCTGGAAGGCTGGCTGGGCACAGGCCACGCCCCCGCGCCATCCTCACCGCCGCTCTCCCCCAAACTTCCTGCTCCTCGAGGAACTGGGTCGCCCGTCTCCAGAATGTGTGGGAACTGACCGCTTGTCTCCACGCCCTCGGTGGTTCCCGTGGCGCCTTGTGGGCCTGCTCTGTGCCACGCTCTGGGCCAGCTGGCCCAGCCCCTCGAGGCCTGCACGGAAGAGTGGGGTGGGGTGGGGTGGGTGGAAGGCAGGACTGCGGAGGTGTAGGGTTTTGCAGGGGGTCAGGCAGTGACTTCAGTGGAAGCTGGGGCTGCGGGGCTCAGGTGAGATGGGAGGCGGG